CTGCTGTCCTTCTTACCTGCTGTCTGACCATTCTCCCCACCAAATCCATCCCTCTTTGGTTGGGAATAAAGCTGGGACCACTGACCACGTTTCTTATTCATTTCAGTGGCAGAGCGAACAACCCGTGTGTCTTTAGTTTTTATGCAGTGGATTTTTATATTATACAAGCGTGTTTTTTCTCGGTTTAATATTCAGTTTTTCTGCTCTTGTTCAAATAATTGAGTTCACAACGAAACTTCTGATTTTCAGTTTGTTCACGATCTTATTTAGATATGGATTGGCGGTTAAAGTGTGGATCGTTGATTAGGTGAGTGTTAAATTCATAATATTAGGCCTAACTGATATGTTCGTTATTTTCCGAATAAGCTCCATTTATAACAGAATTTTATTGTCATAAATGACACATTCAGTGTTGTAAAATTGTAAGTTACTGCTTCACTTTCATGATATGCAAAATATAAAAAATTTCCATTTTGGGTTTTATGGGGGCCGTGGTCAATTAACATTCGGTACAGGGGGTCCGCGGCATCAAAAAGGTTGGGAAACACTATCTAGACAATCTACACCAGCCCTGTCCAACGCGGCGCCCGTGGTATATTTTGCTGGCGCCCTCCGTAACCTCATATAATTGAGCCGATTTTTAATATTAATTCAAATTGTAAGACAAGAGACATTTTTGAACGTCTGAGTACTGTTAATATTTTCGAAAAATTTTATTATTATTATTACTAGTAGTAGTAGTAGTAGTAGTAGTAGTAGTAGTAGTAGTAGTAGTAGTAGTAGTAGTAGTAGTAGTAGTAGTAGTAGTGTGTGGTAGCGCCCGCACCTCCATAGGCATCAGTGAATTGTGCCCGAGTACACAAGAACGTTGGACAGCACTAATCTACACAATTAGCTCAAACATGGCGGTAAGGTTGTCAGCCTTACGGGCCGGCAGCGCTTTACTCCCCAGGAAAACCATTTAATTTCTCATTTCTGTTAGAGGCTGAATCAACACCAGGGCCATAGTGCAACTCGATGGATTTGGTCAATTGAAAAAAAAAAAAATCCAGCCATCTCATCGGGACTTGAACGCGCGACCTTCCGGCTTGCAGCATAACCCCTCTACCAGCTACGCTACCAGAACTGACTTTAAGTTTTAAGCATCATTTTTTCCCAATTTTTAACCTTTATTTATCATGCCTTACAACTGCATATAAAAACTTGTTGCTTTTAGAATACTGCAGGTACAAGAGCGGCACACAAACGATTTCAGTTCCACATAATATTAGCATCCTTTTACAACCTTGGCCTAGACATGTTTAGGAATTGTCTTTGTCATGAATGCTTCACAGGTATTCCGTCCAGTGTGTGCAATCAATGTCTGTTTATGTAGAGACTAGATCAGCCTGAACACACGAATGTAAAGAGTACGCCACAAGAATGCGAATAAATAAATGTAGCCTCCGGTCAATTTTTTTAAACCACCTGGTACATGCAGTAAGTTCATGGTCTACATGTGCCCGGGAATAATTAAAAGTTGGCTGGCAGGTTACTAATTGTTACAGAATACCAAATGCCGCATTTGAAAATACAACTCATGACACGATAAACTACTTTCACAGTACACTTGTTAATATAGTACTTACGTATAAAAATCTCCAACTTATTCACTAGGAAAATAAGTAATTAGCTACTTACTTCCTAACTTCGCTTGTCTACGTTAGCTACCATGTGCTCTGTCGCCTCTGCAGCTCCTCGCCTTCCACGAATTTGTTGACTTCACGGCTTATCTTACTCCTGCTCCACACATTCCATACCACGGAGGGGGTACCACGTGATCGAGAAGTTTGTTGTGGAAGATTTGTGGAAGAGATCGTAGCTGAAGTGAGGAAAAGAAGGAGACTAATTGCTGCTGATTAGGGGTTGGAAGCATAGTACCAGTAAGGGAGTGAACGCGTTAGTACGACGACCAGTAGCATTACAAAGGATACAAATCAAGAAAGCATTCCAAAAAACAGAGCTTACGCTGGTTGTAAATACACAATTCAATCTTCTGTTAGGGTCGTCACTGGTGATAATGCTCCCAGTTCCAGGTTTGAAGGTGGTAATGCCGCCAGGAGTTGGTAAGTATTGTTCAAATTGGGTGAATGCATTGCTACAGATCGCTGCAAATGGTACATGTGGTAATAGCCAACATATACAACAAAAATATTCCACTGTGAATTATGAACCTTCGCGCTATTGTGCATTGAGGGAAATTTCCATGGCCTTGAAATGTAGACCGATTTTTAAAATCTAACAGCCTCTTGATATAAACAAGTAATGTGATGTAAGGTTATAAATACCTGTTTCAGATTTTTAGACATACTCATGATTATTCATCTATACCGAAGGAACCCGTAACAAATGGTCAGCTGCGTTAGGTAGGTGGTTGGCCTACCAGTCTAATGAAATTCAAAAAAGATTAAAACGATTACTCCTTCCATTTACATGCAGTGGCATCCTTTCCTATGGGATTACAACTCACGTTAATTGCACAGTTTTCCACCAGTTTCTGAAGATCATCTGTTCGATGCAGACTGTGTGGTCTCGTAACATCCATATTAACATTATCTTTCAATCTTGTGCAAGTGATTTCTTTTGTAAGGTTTATGCTTCAAAATTGTAACGCATTTGTTTGCCTCATAAGGGTGTTGCATTCCCATTCCCTTTATGTAATAACAATAGTGGCATTTGCTACTAACAGCTGACATGAAATCTTATGGAAAAATTTGCTCTTAATGTTTATCTGCTTCAGGTTTGGTTTTATGTGAAACAGTTGTGTGCAATAAGCAGTGGCAGTCTGTTCTATGTTAGCAGGAATATGACAAGGTTCTTACAGAATGAGATATTTTTTCAAGCTTGCATTGAGGTGGAAGAGTAAGTCACGAAGTTGGGCATCAATAATGCATAAATTTGATTCACCAAAGCGCTATCTAGAAAACTCATTGCATGCCTTATGTTTGCAGTGGATAATTACAATACTGGCGAGCTTGTAATAGAGGGCAAAACGAAGAAAGTATGGCACCTAAAAGACAACCCAGGCTTCGTTATTGTGGTCAGCAAGGACCGTATTACTGCAGGAGATGGAGAAAAAGCACATGACCTGGAGGGCAAGGCTGCTATCTCTAATCAGACCAATAAAAAAGTATTTGAGTTCCTCAATTCTCTTGGTTAGTACCAGAACCTGTCATAGTATGACTTAGTGTGAATTATTGTATGTATTTATTTTTATTTCATCAAATATGTTTAATTATTATGAATCCTATACAATCTCATCATTTGTATGTTGTATAAATTTTACATTTTGGTGTTATTCACTCATCATCTAGTGCATTAAGATGAGTGATTTTGAGAAAGAAGTAGACTGAAGAATTTATATTCTTGGAGCCTTTTCTGAACATGGAGCAGACACATTGCACTGTATTTTAATATGGATGCTTTGGTTCTTACAGTATATAAACAGCTGATTAGATTCTCACTGTTTTGTGACAAACAAGTATTTTGTTCAGCGTTTCTGAAAACATCCAGACTTTTTTGTGATGTCATTACTGCAAGCTGTACTTAACTGTGTCATCACTTTCAATTGGGGATGGAAGATGACTCTGCCTGGCCGTTGTATGCCACAGCCCTTTGCTGAGGGGGTTAAAATGAGATCAGTGTGAAGAACAAAAGGGATACTTCAGGGTTTGCGAAGCCGGACTTGTGACACCTTGATCCAGGAACTAGGACAATGACTGAAGCAACATGAACACAAATTCTTAAAATAATGTTATATTTTAGCGTCCTGTTGCACTGATTCACATTCATGATGTGTATTTGTACCAACCGTCTTACAGTGCACACAATTTCACCTTTCTCTTCACTACATGTTTCGGCACTAATGTGCCATCTTCTTAAAATATTAATAACTGTTGTATATTTATAATTTGTCAGGTAATTTATCATTTTACCATTTGACTTCTGTGAACAAGCATTTGGTGAGTAACTTGTAAATATATTAGCTTCATTATTCCTCAAACTCTGAATATTTGGACCAGCTGACAGCTCTTTGAGATTGTACAGGTTTACCAGAGAAAAGCAACGGTACAGTGTAAGGGCATATAAGCTTGTATCACATGGTGGTCGTCTGGGTTATGACAGCTACAAGACTGTGCTTTCATAACCCAGTTTCATGACCATGAAAATACCAGATCTCATATATGCATTTATTAGTGTGTGCGAATTTACAGTGTTAACATCTAGAAGTGATTTACTGAATTGTGACGTTCAGACTGATAACAGTTGTGACTGGAGAGTGTAAAGATATTTATTTCACGTGATGATGATGATGATGCTGCTGCCTTTGTACATTAATAAGTTTAATTTTAATGCCAATAGAAAATGACTTGTGGAGTGACCAATATTGCTGTATTATACAGGACTGAAGACTGCGTATGTGAAGCATACGGGAGAGAAATCCTTCATAGCAAAAAAATGTGAGATGGTTCCTATTGAGTGGGTAACACGTCGCTTAGCAACGGGATCCTTTCTCAAGAGGCATCCTGGTGTGCCTGAAGGTTTTCGCTTCAGTCCTCCACTACAGGAAACATTTTACAAAGTAATTATTTTTATAATTTGTTACATTTAATGCCTTCTCATCAAGTGCTTCAAATGGATCACACTGTGGGGTGGTTGCAGCTGTATGTCTGCATATTACAGCTACAAAAGGAAAATAAAAGTAGGGTTTTCCCCATGCCTAATTAAGTACCATGCCATAGTGACATGGGGGAAAGGATGCATAGCTCCAGTTTCATGCCCTGCCCACATACCCTGGGAAAAATACCACAGTACCCACTGGATAGGAGGCTGGGTGGGTGGCAGAGCAAGTCCACATTGTGTCAAAAGACAAAAATCTCTGGCCTATGCTGGGAGTTTAACCCCAGTTACTCGGTTATCAGCCTGCGACCTAGTGACTGTACCATCTGAGCTAATGGTTTTCAGTGAAATTTGTGAGATGCTACACTGAAAAAAAAACAAAAACAAAATTATTAGGTGAGTTTAACATTGGTTCCCATCAATGCAACATAACTCCCTAATTTAGATGAATCTCATGTAAACTTTATTAACAGTCTCAAGATTGGCTGATGGAGCAAACGATTATACCTGGCCTAGAGTTTTTAGTGGTTGCATGAACGTATTTAACTCTTCTGTTTCAGACATTTTTAGTAAGGTAAATAATTACTGCAGCACAAGGTAAAATAATTTGACTGAAATATCTGTAATGTGATTTTTATGTGCAATAAATATTTAGTGTATATCTGCCTGATGATGGCTTGTCATAAGCCGAAACATGTAGTGAGATACCACTGAAATCAATGAACTCATTATAGACAGTTAATGTGAAAGAGATTCTGTGAGTTGCTGTGTTGTGATGGATTGACAGACAATTAGTATATGCACAATAAATAACCATGAAGACCACTGAGATACATGGGATTGCAGATATTCTTGGTTTATTTAGCACAGCTTTATAAATAATATGGTACTGAACCCAGGTAATGCTTGCTACCATTCAGTCCAGAACCTTTTGTCTTCTCGTCTGCTGTCCAAAAACATAAAAAAATAGAATATACAAAACTAATTTTGCCTGCGGTTCTGTATGGGTGTGAAACTTGGTCTCTGACATTGAGGGAAGATCATAGACTGAGGGTGTTCGAGAACAGGGTGTTGAGGAGAATATTTGGACTGAAGAGAGATGAAGTGACAGGAGGTTGGAGAAAACTGCATAATGAGGAGCTTCATAAGTTGTATACTCTTCTCCAAGTATAATTAGAATGATTAAGTCAAGGAGGATGAGGTGGGCAGGGCATGTAGCACGAATGTGGGAGACGAATGCATATAGGATGTTGGTGGGAAAGCCAGAAGGAAAGAGACCACTGGGAAGATAGGATGGGATGGTATTGATTGAATTGATCTGGCTCAGGATTGGGACCAGTGGAGGGCTCTTGTGAACACAGTAATGAACCTTCAGGTTCCATAAAATGCTGGGAAATTCTTGAGTAGCTGCAAAATTGGCAGCTCCTCCAGAAGGGTACAGCTCCATGGTGTTGAATGACAGGATGATTAGTGAATAATAAACTGCAGTGAGGCAAGTGATTATATATCATTTTAGGTGCCACTTCAGTGGGTGCTTGGAAAGACTGAGGAGAACCATAAAGTTTACAGTCAGGATTATCTGGTGTCTAGGTCTAAATTTTAACCAGGAATGCACAAATACAAAGTTGGAGAGGCACCCTTCAACATTTAGTAGAAGGTAGCAAAATATGTTTCGATGTGTGGGCTCCAGATTTGAGTATGCTTTACCATCTTGTTTCCAGGATGAAAGTGTAAAGTATAGATGTTTTATGTGGTAATGTCTTTCTGGTGTTGCTGTGTGACTGTTGTAGGATGATGCAAACCATGACCCACAGTGGTCAGATGAGCAGATTGTATCAGCACAGTTCAAGTTGAATGGACTTACAATTAGACAGGATGAGGTGGAAATCATGCGACGGACTGCACTGGTCATATTTGAAGTGCTAGAGAAAGCATGGGCAGCAAGGGATTGTGCCCTCATTGACATGAAAATTGAATTTGGGATATCTTCACTAGGTACCGTACTTCTGCTTGCATTAAAACAAATTTTCCGTTTATATTCATATAATGTAATGTATTCTTGATGTATGATATGAGCTAGTTCTGCAATAAAAAATTATAAATTATCCTGCATGTCACAAAGAGGTGTGCTCAGAATGGATGTAAAAAGTGGCTTGGAATTAAGCCTGTCTGGTCAAATGATGCATGTTGATTTGTACATACTGAAGAAATTATGAGCCATAAAAACTTTATGCTTCCATCTCCTATCTATCAAACTACAGTCTCCCCCCCCCCAAAAGCAGTGTTCAGAAAATTATTTATTTCATAAAATATAATGGTGTGAAGAGATTAAACTGAATCTTGATGGAAGGAATGGAGTTAAGAAATAGCACTTCTCCAGCATCATACATTTCAAGGAACTGTTTAATATGAGATACATTTCTCAAGTGAGACTCGAATAAAAGGTTTCATTAAAGTGACATATTCTGACAGGAAAGCTTCTTCAATAGGCGAGTGGAACTTAACTGTTGAAATGCATAGCATATTATTTTAGGAGCCCTGAGGAAAATAGTGTACGCATTTCAACTCATAATACCTTGGGACTTGATAACAGACCTTTGAAATTAAAACAACATACATGAGCACTTGAATGCAGTGTTTGAATTAGAATTTTTTAGTGTACCTGAATAATTTCCCTTTAATTTACACAGATTTTTAAAATGAGTTGAAAGGAATTAACTTTCTGACCTTGAGTATCTGTCTTCAGGTCAAGTACTAAATGCTTCAGATTTGATAAATGTGCGGTATTCACACCAGCTGGTATAATCAGCAGCAGTGAAATCAATTGACTTGATGACAAGACATAAAACTGTATCGCGCCCAACAGCAAAGATGTCATGCTCCTACTATCAGAGGAAAATATCCGCTTGACCTTTGTCCAGGTCAGATATACAGGCAGAAAGGTCAGAGAGGAAACCCTATGAACACAGACTAGTAAACAATTATTATCTGGGAATTAAACATTCAGAATGACTTCTTGAAATTGTGCCAGCATATACCATATCATGTTTCTTCATGAAAGGGCCCATAAAACAACTTGCAAAAACTGAAAATTTCAGGTACACAGGTCTTCCAAATACATTCCTTGCTAAGTTTTATTTAGCGTAATAGATATTAATGAGATATGTTTCAAAGTCGAGATCTTCAAACTGTTTAATTATGTTTGTCCATATAGTCGAGGAAGGACCTCTCGTCAACAAGTGTATTTCATATTACTGCCAGTAGATGGATCAGATTGACAGTAAATATATTTTAGGCTTTGAAATTCATTTTCCCAAAATGTGTTACATTAAAGAAATAGTTATCCCATTCAGATGGGCAAAAGTTCATCTCAAACATGTTTTGATCTATTGAATACTGAATTCGTCTAAAACATCAGTTTTTACCTTCAATAAAAATGCTTCAAAATACAAGGGCCGTACTGAAGTCATGAGCAACAATTTTCTGTAAAGTAACATGCTTTATTATTGACAAACCAAATACACCACCTCAATCTACAGACTTTCTTTATTTTTCCACATAATCGCCGCTTCTTTGTACACATTTTTCCCAGCGTTCTGGGAGTTTGAAAATTCCCATTCTGTAAAATTCCGTTCCTACCATCCGAAGACACTGACATGCTGCTTTCTGAATTGCCTCCCTTGTCTCAAAACGTTGTCCATGGAGCTGATCCTTCACAAATCCAAAAAGATGGTAGTCGGAGGGTGCCAGATCTGGGTTATAGGAGGGGTGTGGAACAACTTCCCACCCCATCTTTGCAATTGCTTCCAATGTGAGGCGAGTGGCGTGGGGGCAAGCGTCATGCAGGATGATAATGTTTCGTCCCTGATGTCTCGCGCAATGCATGACGGAGCTTGTGCAGCATCTGGACATAACGAGCAGCATTGATGGTTTGCCCAGGTTCCAGGAATTCAGCCAGAATAAACCCCTCTGCATCCCAGAGGACTGTGCCCATCACATAGCACATGGCACTGTGTTTGCCTTCTTTTTTGACGGAGAATGCAAATGGTGCCATTCCATACTCTGCTGTTTCGTTTCAGGCTTGAAATGGTGAAACCAGCTTTCGTCACCTGTCACAATACAGAGCAAAAAATCGCCTTCGTGTCGATATCTCTGCAGCAGTTCTGAGGTGATGGCTTTTCGCTGTTGGCCATTTTGTTAGGAGTGATACTGGTCACGTGATGCAAGCTATTGACGTAATAAGACACTCAAGGTTAACACAACAGCTGGTTCCACCTACCACCATACTCTCTTTCATCTGCTGTTCCCAGGTTGCATGCAAAAAAAAGTTGCTCATGACTTTCGGTATGACCTACGTAGCATTTAATACTATGGATTTGCTGTCCAAATATTACATTCTATTAAAAATCAATGCAAACACAAGCACTTCATGTTTGAAGTCCAAATTCAGAATTTTATATACATTTTTTTTATTGTCCATTTTGGACTGAGATTTAATGCTTCTGAGGCAATTAATGCAAAGAACATTAAAATTAAGCTTTGTGTGCAGAGCGGAATGTACAGGTGGATAGTAACAGTAATGTTTTTTCTTTTAACTGGCACCATGCAAATTCATATATACCGTATTTACGCATGTATAGGCCGCAGCACAATTTTCAGACAGAAATTATAGGAACAATAATTTTCTTGGAATATTATTTCAGGAGTAGAAATTATTTCGAAATTTGGCAACGTTTAACATTCCTAAGTTCGCACCTAGCGAAAATAACGGTACCGCTCGGAACAAAGGCATTGCGGGGGAGAGTTATAACCTTTTCGCCTTTACTTGACTTGCCTGGTTAATTCTGAGTGAAACATGGGTCGAGTAAGAGCAGGTTATACGTCTAAATTTAAACTTCAAATGGTGCGTTACGCACAAGAACACGGAAATCGAGCAGCAGGGAGAAAATTCGACGTTGACGAAAAAAATGTGCGAAGATGGATACTAACGAAAGATGCCCTTGAAAAAAAGTCACAAATCGACAATCTTTCCGCGGAAAGAAAGCTAAATTTCCAGAACTTGAAAATAAACTTTTGCAATACGCGCGTAATACACGGGCGGATGGATTTTCAGTGTCTGTGGAAATGATTCAATTTGAAGGCCTCAAAATAGCAGACAGAATGAAAATTCCTCGTAATGAATTTAAGGGAAGTTATGGATGGGCAAGGCACTTTATAGCCCGACATGATCTTGTAATTCGGCGACGGACGTCAATAGCGCAGCGCCTTCCCGACACATACCAGGAGAAACTGCTTGCATTTCAAAAACATGTCCTGAAATTAAGAAAGACGCACAACTACACCATGGGAGCTATTGGAAATGTTGATGAAACTCCTGTGTTCTTTGAAATGCCGGGTGAAAGTACAGTGAACAAAGCAGGCGAAAAAACAGTGCATGTGCGGACTGCAGGAGCAGAAAAGCAGCGGTGTACCGTAATGCTTGGTATCACTGCTGATGGAAACAAACTACCACCATTTGTAATCTTCAAACGCAAAACATTGCCGAAAGAAAAGCTTCCACCGGGAATTTTGGTGAGAGTTCAAGAAAAAGGATGGATGACAGAAGAGCTCTATCTGGATTGGTTGAAATCAGTGTGGTTTCGGCGCCCAGGCGCACTTTTACGTCAGCGGTCAATGTTAGTGGTTGACAGTTTTCGAAGCCATTTAACTGAAAATGTGAAAGTGAAGATGAGGCAGGAGAAAAGTGATATGGTTGTGATACCAGGGGGGATGACTGGCATGTTACAACCACTTGACGTGTCAATAAACCGTCCTTTCAAGTCTCATTTGCGGCGCTTTTACCGGGACTGGAGATGCGGTTCCACGGAGATGACGCCGACTGGACGATTGAAGAAACCTTCATTAAGTCAAATGTGTGAGTGGATTGTGGCTGCATGGAACACCATACCAGAAGAAATGGTTTCCAAAAGTTTTAAAGTCACATCCATTTCCAACGCAATGGACGGGACTGAAGATGACGCTGTATGGCTGACATCACCTGACAGCGAAACTTCGAGCGAGAGCGACATCGACAGTAACGAGTCAAGTGATGAACAGTAATATGGTTCAATTACCGTGGACCAACTTCAGAAAGTGTCGCATAATTTATTCATGCGATGCGAAGCATGTTTGCAAGCAGAAGGGGGTCACTTTCAGCACCTGTTATAAAGCACGGTAAGTTTGTGTTATCTTTTTACAGTATTCTTATAAATGTGTGCATGTACAGAAACTGATGTAAGGGTATCAGCGACACGACTGCACTCTTGCTAGCAGGGAGGGGCACAGTAGTCTCGGAGAAACGTTCCATCCGCTCTACACTGCTGCCCCGGTTTCCTCAATCTTTGAACACCCTGTATTACTAATTATGAATATAATTTTTTTTAAATGAAGTGTGATTTCGAATATTTCGAATACAAGCCGCACCCCAGTTTTCCTCTTGAATTTTTGGCAAAATATGTGCGGCCTATACATGCGTAAATACGGTACTTAAGAAACAGATGAGATCTGAAGTTTCACAGTGGTGAAAATGTAGATTATCTATTGGTTTGTGATATTGCATAGTTTACATGGTTACTAACGTTTTGGAGGATCCCTCTGCCTCAGTCTTCTGGGTTATGGCAGTAATTTCGCAGGTGGTCACCAGTGTTTTACAGGAATCTGCTTTGTCTATCTTAAGGACAATGGTGACTTCCTTGACCATTCACACATATTAACATGGTTGCAATGATTCAGATACATTAGAAAGCAATGTGTCTGCATCCTTTAAGCGCAGGAGTGAAATACTATGTCTTTTCTTAACCAACTAATGCCTTTTTCCTGTCGGTGAGCTGACTGAACTAATGAGTCACATTCGGATGCATAGCACTTATTGCATGTAATTAATAGATATGTTGAAGACATGACACAACTGTGCAGAATTGTTTTGTCAGCACTTTCTGTTTACCACACTATCCTGTAAATGTCATTACATTTTTATGGAACAAGCCAGGCAGTTGTTGTATGGCCTATAGCAATGGGGTTGAGAAACCAAGTTAATAATTTAAAATAAAACAAGTTCTCAAAATTAAAATCTAACAATAGATTTTTTTTATATTCAGGTGATATTCTGGTGGCTGATGTTATTGACAGTGATTCGTGGCGCCTTTGGCCTTCAGGAGACAAAAGGCTTATGAAAGATAAGCAAGTGTACCGTAATTTGAGCACAGTCACTGAAGAAGATTTGGACACTGTGAAACGTAACTTCAAGTGGGTTGCTGACCAACTTGATCATCTAATTCCACCTCCAAGTTCTCGTGTAATTATGATTACAGTATACACTATACATATATAATCATGAGGCACCATACACTTACTCACAGAACTCGTGGAGAATTACAGAGCGAACTGGAGAAACCATATTCTTAGAACGTCTCCCTCTGGAATCCTGTTCTGGGTTCTCTACTGCCAAGCAAAAGGAAGATATCTTGGGAGAACTTACATGGAAAGCTGCTGGTGATACATGAGCAGTTATAAGCTTCGTTAATAACTTTTGTACTTCAGTGCTCATTAACTGAATTGAAGTTGTTTATGAAAGTATGGGCTTAGGAAATGAGAAATAAAGTAAAATCGTTGCGTTTCACAGTTAAATTACTTTGTACAGCCATAATTTTTCAAACATCTTCCCATATTTATTCAAACTTTATGTGCATTTCTTTAACTGCGTATTACAACTCTTAACTATATACCAGGGAGAATTACTACCTATTATTGGCTGTCACTGAGAAATGAGAGTTTTATGATGAAGCACTGTTTTGTCACACTAACTAAACAAGTACTGTTTTTCTTCTCTATGCAAATGGTGGTTGAGAGATAATGCCACAAAGTGTTATATTTCAATGCACAGTGAACATTTATGTGATTTTTTTTAAATGATGCCTCTCTTTTGAAGGTTGTAGTGTTGATGGGTTCATCATCAGATGAAGAATATTGTATTAAGATTGGCAAACATTGCAAAGAACTGGGTTTGATTTGCCAGTTACGAGTAACATCTGCTCACAAGGGAACAGAAGGGACGCTCCAAATACTGGCAGAGTATGAAGGTGTGTGGGTAATCTTTTGTCTGTCTGTGAAGGTAAGCTTGTGCTCAGAGCCTGAGTATCATGCCATGAAGGTAAGTTACTCACATGCTAGAGCTCTGCACATAACAAAGGTGACTGGTCAGCTTCATTCCTTGGCCAAATTTTGCCCCAGAATAAGAACTGCTGTTACCCATTGACAAAAGGAGGGTGGATAAATACCAGATGTAGTCTGCCAGGAATCAAACCTTACTGACAAGCGCTATCTCAGCTGACATGTCTCTCTGTTATTTTCATTATATGCTGACATCCCATCAATCCACTGCTACACAGTATGAAATTATTGTGACATAACAAAGAAGTAGAGGTCTAATTGTAAGCGTGTAATTAAAAATATTATTCCAGTAATTACATTCAGTCCATATATATCATTAATTCTTCACAGTATCTACACATTACTTTTCTGTAGTTCACAACGAGTTTAAGTATACTAGACAAAATTTTCAAAATAGCTACTTAAATACACAAATAAATGAACTGCCCCAAAATTTGGTGTGTGTTGTACATCACTAATTTATAATATTATAAATGACCACAGTAATCTGAGAATTTTTGCAAAATATTCTGTCTTCCTTTAGGGACAGTAATATGAAACATGGCTGACTTGTTTTCTTTGATCACAATACAGTTTCCCAAGCTTAATAGGTAAAAGTACATAAGATGTCACATAGAACAGTAGGTTTGATTTGATGCTCAGACAAATTCAAATTAAATTTCAAGTTTTAGAAACAACAATAAGGGAACCAGGGTGAAAAAAGGAACAGGAGATAACTTTGCATGTTTATGAGTTTTTAATTATGTTAAGGGTTTTAAGTTATATTGAAACTGATGGTGAGTGCTGATTTTGTTTTTTGCTATCAGGTGCCAAAGAGAAAGTAGTGCTGATTGCAGTTGCTGGAAGAAGCAATGGCCTTGGGCCTGTTATATCAGGACAGACCTGCTTTCCAGTTATCAACTGTCCCCCAGTGAGGCCAGAAAATGTGACTCAGGACATATGGTCCTCTCTTAATGTACCATCAGGTGAGTGTTATTATTCCAAATATTTTACTGACAGGTTGTTTTAATACTAAGGCAACTGATTTGTGTTCAGAATGTACTTGGTTTGAGTTTCTCTGAGGACACCAGCCATTCTAACAGTGGTTCTCATGGGTTTTCCTCCTAGCAAATGCCAGAATAATAATTTGAAATGTGTGATAATTTATGTTGCTTCCAGCTCACTCTAAAATGTTTTCTGACAAATATGTGCATTTCAATCTTGACACATGCAGTTCAGGTTAATGAGGAAAGATATAACTTAAGGTACAAAAACCTTCATGGTGTTTTTTCTGGGTCGCAAACATTTTGAACAGGCATCAATAATCTCCGTTTCTATTAATGTATGGAAGACATTTTATATATAGGTATATACCATATGATGTAGGAGTTTCATAATCTTGTGATGCAAATCTTTTTGTAAATTCTGTACACATTTCTTCATACCACTGTTTATTAACATAAAATGTAGCATTTGCTATCTCTATCACTGTGTGGAATTTTTTAGTGTTGCCCAGTGCAAAAATTTTTCATCAGGATTTATTGTCTGTAGGGTCAGCTTAATTATTCTAGTTTTAAATTTCCCATACGTTTAAGATTAACTATTTCTCATCCTTTTATTTCCTGGCTCATTCCTACCAGTTATGAAGTAATTTATGCAAAAATTTAAAAAAGACTTGGAACATATAAGGCATCTGTAGTATGTTGTTTCTATATGTGAACGTCAGAAGAGGTGTCAATTCATATTTGTAGCAGATTTCTGACTGGATGCATATGGGAAGAAAGCCTTCTGATGACATAAAAGGCTTAAGTTTAACAGTTCAGTGTTTTGTTCAACAAAAACATGTTCTTGTTTTTAGAGACATTACTTTCCTACCTTACTGAGACTTCAGCTTCTTGATATCATGTCTTTCCTGTACTAAGGGCTGGGATGTACAACTGTCGTGAATCCAGAATCAGCAGCGCTTGCAGCTGCTCAAATCCACGCCCTTCATGATCACATCATTTGGTCACGACTCCGTGTGAAGAAGTTCAACAACTTCCTTACTCTCAAGATGGCTGACAAAATGATACGAGACAAGGAGCTGTAAATGGATACATACTTTTGACATTTGATTGCAGCTTTTGTATGAATGCTTATTACATTTTAATGTTAAATGAATTTAAAAAATCAAAAAATAAAGATACAGTTAGTATAAATTTGAAACTGTATTACTGATGAAAACGTGTATCCCAAGGAGAATTATTATTGTTATAGCAGTGATGCAGCTGCACTGATTTTTTTCAACTGATAAAATATTCCAATTATATTTTTGTGAGGCATAAATAAAGACCTAGGACTCTCTGATTTGAACCACAGAAATTTATTTTATGGGGAATTTTCTTCATCTTGAGTTAGATTCAACATAAGCGGCCTCCGTAGTTAGGGGTAACGTTCCCACCTCATGACTCAAGGTACGCGGGTTCAAACCTGGCGGAGGTCGTGGAATTTTTAAGGGTGGAAAAATTCAGGGAACAAGTCCTCCGGGAGGGACTTTAAGCCGTGGGTCCCGTGTCGTAGATTTACGGCACGTAAAAGATCCTCATGTCTCTAGGAGACCTCTGAGCAAAATTAGGCAAAAATGTTTCCCGCCCAAGTAGTTTCAAATGCCTCCAGTAGATGGGGAAGTTATCAGGTACCAATGCCAGTAGAGGGCCAACCTCGCTGGCAGAAAGGGGAGAATTATCGGGTACCACTGCCAGTAGAAAGCCGACCTCGCTGGCAGAAAGGGGAGATAGCGGGCACCAGTATCAGTAGGTTATGGCGACAGTAGAAATTAAAGGGGGACGTACAATAGACTATTAGTCGCAGTGCATGGGGAAACCCATCCCCTCTATACTGAATAACTGAATAGATTCAACATTTTGGAAATGAATTACTTTCACCCTCTGAAATTGAATCATTATGTACTCCCTCTAAAATTATATACATGAAGAACTCTGTAGTACTACACAGGTAATCAGGTAGAGTTATGTAGGATAATGGAAAATAGGGGAGAAGAAAAATGGGAAGAGTGAAAAGACTTTTTCCAGGCCTAACAGAATGACATAACTTATATTACAGATGTCAGGGTTAGTACCAATGTTTACACGAATTTTCACAAACTTCAGTGTCTATAATATTGGCGACAAAGGGAAGGGGAGAACAAAAATAAATTAATATCATACTTTCAGTTTAGCAGAACGATACAACCTATGGAAAGAGAAGAGATAGTGAAATTAAAAATTGGATTTTTTTTCTTCCCCTATTGGCTCTACAGCACCTTTGAGCCTTGGCCTCCAATTTTCAGTTTCATGATCATTTAACAGATGGTAGGACTCCTTGGATGAGTGATCAGCTCATCGCAAAGCCTCTACCTAAACACAGAATAAACACACATATCAAACATCCCTGCCTTGTGTGGGATTCAAACCCACACAAGGAAGGGATGATTGATATGTGTATGTGTTTATTCTGTGTTGTGTGGGATTCAAACCCACAATCCCAGCTTCAAGCAAACAAAGACAATGCATGCCTTAGACTGCTCAGCTACCATGACTGGCCAAACTAGTCATTTTATGACCAGGTAATTCATGAGGTAAGCATTCTACATGGCCATAAAAGAGCTTGTTGGTTTGAAAAATCAATCATACCACATTCATGACAGTATTTAATACTGCAGAAGATATGGATATAGGAAGTGAGAGGCAAAGGAAATTCTTGATTATACATACTGAATTATTTTTTATTAAAATTGTTTCTGAGGTAGCATATAGTTTTCATATTCATAATCTTATATCATTATGAAGTTTTCAAGTCTGTAGTTCAAACAAGACACTATTCACATTATGGCAGTCCATTCTACATGTCAGTTCCAAGGTGGAGTTAGACTTTCAAGACTTACCCATCCATGTGGTAACAACACCACACAACACTATAAATTTTAAGAGCACTTTTGAATTAAGGCTCTCAACTATTAAGAGTTTGTTTACAATGAACCCATTCAAACAAGGTTAAAAATACAGATCTGTGGGCCTTGAAACAACCATGTATTTTCCATGTTCATAGTAATGGAATGTCAGTGATAGAGTGAAGGTCACTATGATGACTACTGCCTTCTGGGATATACCATGTAGTCGCATAGAAATTCACTGATTTCAGAGGAACATCAGTGAGAACTTTTAGCACACTGCATGGCATCACACCCCAAAAGATGCTCTTCTTCACTTGAAATGGTCACATCTGTTGTAATATAAAAATAAACCTTCATCTACTGATTTGTGTTGATATCTCTTTGTTGTATCATGTTCTGTGTCAACACTAACTGGAATCCTCTTTCTACTGAATCTACCTCAAATGTGTAATTGCCAGCTTTTCTAAGATTCAGTTGCATCATATGTTGAAGCCATTCCCTTTTGGCATATACTGCAGCAGTCATTTTCAGAGTAAATACAAGGCAAGAGCAGGAGAAATCAAGCAGTTGAGTACTTGAATATTAATGGCTGACCCAAGTATTTTTAAGATGTTACCACCTTGCTGTTTGCAGCATAAGCACTGCCAATCAAAGTAAAAACAAACCCAAAAACCTTACCTTATGAACTTGGATGGAAATTCTTACATTAGGTTTTGGGTGTTCTTTCTAAAAATAAACTTCTATGATTGGCAGAGCTAACATGCTGGACAACATGGCGGTAACTTTAACACATAGGCACTATTGAAACTTCTTTGCCACCCTTTACAGATCACAACAACCTCAATTTAGAAGCCAATTCTAAAGAGCTCTGTTGACAGTATACATCTTTACCCATAGTATTATTAGGTTCCTTGATTTTGTCCCATATCTTACATTGCAGTCACAGCACTGTGTCAGTCTGGTGACTTGAGACTAGCTCTCTCTCCCACACCAACTTTCTTAAATGGAATATTCTGTAGAGAATACTAGACAACAGATAACCAATAATCCTAATCTGACATTCAAAGCTTTATAATAGGAATGGTGTGGCTATAAAACTTAAAAGCAAAATCCATCTACATTCTGAAATTCCCATAATGTTCAAGACATGCGGACCACATACACATCACCCATGAGCAATACACAACAGAACACATCCATCCACAACTCTGAACACTCACTGATATGGACAGACACTGTGCCCAGCACACAGGACATCCAACAATGACTGCCATTAATGAAAAATACACAAAATTACATTTTACACAATTCTCATTAATGATATCATTTAAGGTTCAATTTGTGCTTACAACTCTTATACTGTCATACAGCTGAAAGTGACACATGTGCATTGAAACAGCTGCCACAACAAATATAATTGAAGATGGCTGTATACAGCTGAAACATGTTATAAACACATAAAACATGAAGGAGGTGGTAAACACATTACACAACTAAACAGCTGCATTATAATGAGCTCTTTAGCCCAGCCTGGGTTACTAGAACAGTTACTACATTAGCAGGTGGAGATACAGCATTATGAGAAGCAAGAGGAATTGTGGGAAACTGATGTATGTGATAATGACTACATCAACATGTTAATCAAAATGTATCTCAGGAAGACCTTAAATAAAGATTTGACAGTACTAGCCATCACATACACTGTCAGAATCAGTCACAATATTTTCAGTACTATCAGTAGTAATATTTATTTGCTTCTCTATAAGTTCTGAGATCTCATGTGTCACTCTCTTTGACGCAGTGGCCTCCATCAATGTTTCCAGATCTCTAACATCATCTCTGGGTAGATCAGACATCCATGAAGGTCCTGCTACAGGTTCAGGATCAGGATTTCTTCTGGGTTCTTGCTTCTTGCTAGCCATTGAATGTAATTCTTCTATCTCCATTGAAAGATTGTCTGAAGGACTGTTACAGACATTTCTGGTTGCAATCTTCTGATTCATACTGACAGAATTCCCGCTAATATCAACATCTGGCTCTACACCAGAATCATTTTTGACACCATACTTTGCATCAGTGTTTTCAGCAGAATCTTTCCTCTGTAAAAATACTCTTGACATATGCAAAGCTTTCCGAGTTTTGCAGACATAACGGAGTTGATGTTCTGGAATGGTTGTAAAAACAGAGTCACCTCCAGGGGGCACTGGGTCCTCTTCAAAGAAAAGAGCTGTCCCCACAATATCACGATATTCTCCTGCAAATGTCTGAAAAAGATCATAGGGACTAAATACCGATGCATGCCTGTGACAGTAACCATGGGAAACATCATGCCAGCAAGCTCCCAGACATCCCTTTGTGTGTGGCTGTCAACCCTTGTGTATAGACAGGAAAAACATACTTCTCTATATGTGAATCCATGTATGTTATGGAAGTTCAAATGAACAGAATAACCCTCCATACATTTTACAAAGAAATCATTATTCTGACATAATTAGTTCACATGTGAGCATTAATCCCGTATGCACATATGTCAACACTGAAACTGAGACATACTTCCTCCAAAAGCCTTCTACAAAATTAAAACCTTAACCATAATTAACTACGTCTTCAAGTAACTATCAAAATGAGTCTTTGCTTAAGAGACTGAACATTACTAAAATCTTTGTATATTTTTATTGTATATACCTGATTTCCAATCTGCATAACCGGATTCTTTCCTTCAACATCAATCATCTTTAAGAAGACCGGAGATCTATCAAGAATGTCCTTCTCCAACATTCCATTAAATTCCACATTGACCAAGAATTCTTCCTCTTCTTCACTACTTGACATGTGAGGTTCTGTGTGTATCACAGACTACTAGTCATTCAAATAAAACTGAAGATAAACAAAAAATGTATTCCGAGAATTCTCACATATTCTTCATACTATACGAGACAAATATCCATAGGTAGGGTTAAGTTACATATCACTACAAAATACGTATTTTCCTTCTGCCCACTGTTCTCATTTACGCACGTTCCTATAGTTTTCATAAATAAGGTAACAAACCGAATTTTTCAACAGTTAAAGATAAATCTAGTTTGAAACGCAACTGTCCCATTCAACAACTTCCAAAACCCTACGCATCACTCATTAAACACATAACACCGCTTCCATCTTCCTCCACATGTTCATGTTCGTTCATCTGTCCAAATCATTGCCAATACTTGGTAATGAAAGTACACTTACTACGCTTACTACAACCCAATTCTTACGAATTAAAAAACAAGACGATAAAAATGTACATTTCGTCATACTTGTTTACATATCTAATGCCATATTTCTTTACTTTTTATTGAACAATTTAACTCTATAAATAATTACACAGTTGGTAATGCATTTCTGTGCCTGTAGTTATTTCCTCGCGGTGAAGGGGTGTTTTTATAGCCATGCAGATGTAAGAAAAAAAAGGGGCTAAAAAGTGTGTTGAAATATCTATAAGACATGGCAAACGATAGAGAGGTTCTGAGAGAAATATGGGAAGGTAGATTACCTGTATGTTTTCAGTTAAATTCTGAAGAAGTATATTCTCTGCAGGCTCCCGATGCATATTATTTAATGGTTCCTCGGTTAAGTTACTTTCCTCTAGTTACTGATAAGGTAAGGAAAACTCGCCAGAACTTCATATTCGCAAGGCAGGAACTCGAATGTTACCTTGTTATATTAAAATATGCCCTTCTTGAATATGGCAGTAGATATTTATGTGACAGGTTAAGAAAACGTAAGTCTTGCTTGATGTAACCAACACAAATTAATGCATAGTGTATTTCAGGTCCGTAAGCAATTTGTAAGGTACATTCATCCAGATAAACAAGAAGCAGAGATGTGGCTAGATTTCAATGGACAGGCCTTGAAATGGTAAGACAGCCATAAATTTATGTGCAGGATAATTTGAGATAAATTGAATTGCATTTTATTTTACCCTTTTAACTTAATCTTTCACTCCAAGAGAAGAGCATAGGTTGAGGGTGTCAGAGAGCTAGGTGCTAAGGGTAATATCTGTAAGAGAAAGTAATAAGATCATGAAAGTTACAAAAAGAATTCATAGTTTGTACCCTTCACCAGATATTATTAGTTGAAATGATGAGAAATGCAGAATGCCTTGAGTGATTCAAACTGCATACAGAAATTCAGTTGGAAAGCTTAAATGGTAGAGACCACTCAGGAGACCTAAGAATAGATGGGAGAATGATATCCAAATTGAAGATTTCTGTCTTCTGGAATATAATACCCTGTAGTCTGTTGAAAGTGAACTGACATTTCGGAGGAACATGTTGCCTCCATCTTCAGAGTTGACGAATAAGCCAGGCAAGAAATTCACATAAAAGCAGGTGGAAAGCAATATCCAGACTGATCTTAAAGGAACAGGATGTGAGAATGTGAACTGGACTTATCTGGCTCAGGATATGTTCCAGTGGCAAGCTCTTGTGAACACAGTGATCAACCCTCAAATTCAATAAAGGTGGGGAATTTCTTCACAAAATGACTGAACTTCTGAAGAGCAGCTCAGCTCTGCAAAGTTCAATATTTCTATATTGCAATATAATTTACTAGGTATTTCCTTACATAATATTTTATAAAAGTATGGGTTGTGATACAGAACTATAGCTAGTAACACATCATCTGCTGTATGGTAGAAAATCAGCCCTTTAAAGTCATTTCTGAATAGTTCTAATAATGGTATATTACACTCAGTATTACTGAGCTTCTGGATTTTGTCCATAATGTGGTATTCTGAAAAACATAATGTTTTTGAAAGTGGATTCCTTTCTGTCTTCAGGTGAACTGGTGGGGAGGCACCCACTTAGTTCGGTCCATTAGAAAAGCTAATTGCAATCACAGGTCCAATGAAACTCAGTAATCCCAAGACCATCTCATGCTCATTTATATTCTGACATTGTCAGACAGGGAACACGTGAATGCAGACATTTTAAAATGCTGAAGATTTCTTTTTTCTGAGATGTGATATTATGTAGTTCGGAAGGAACTTACAAACTTGTCAGAGGACTCTTCTGCCTCTATATTTGGGGTAGAAGAGCCCAGAAAGACTACCAAGACTACATGGGCTGGTTGAGGGAGCTGGTCAAATGCATCCAATACCAGTGCACCCTCATCTTCTCACCATCTTATTCTTCTACCAAGAAGATGGAAACATAGGTTCCTCTTAAATGTTGCCAAATGTCTACCCAATTATATGTCATTACATCTCAGAAGATGAAATCTTTGTATTCACTCCCATGTTAAAACCCACCTCTTATTCTTAGCCCTCATTTTAGACATACAAAATTTAAAAAGAAAGTTACAATTTACTGTGACAAGCACTTTTCCCTAAAAGCATACTCAAGTTTAGCCTCAAGGCTGAAACATACAATGTGCTCACAAATCTCTTGGTAGGAAAGTAAAAAGAAATCACTGACCATGAGAATTACATACATGAAACAACAGATTTAACTTTCTTTTTCTTGTTTGGAAGGCATTACCCAATTGGAGTGCTGTTTGACATGTATGCAGCTGATAGCCAGTTACCATGGAATATTACTGTTCATTTTGACAAGTTTCCAGAAGAGGAACTCTTACACTGCCCTTGTAGGTATGTTGTAAGTACAGTGTTATGCCCAAGACTTCTGTGAGATGTTAAATTGTCTCAGATACATGCTACCACAGTGGGATCCAGTGTATAACCACAGATATAATGATATGCTTAAAACAGTCATGGACAACTGGGTGAACCACTTCAGGCAGTTGTGTTTTGGATATACCCAGTTTGAATCTTGGTTGGGGTACTGACTATCCTGACCAGAATTTTTTATTATTTTCTGGAAACTCTGCAGGTAAATACGAAGAGAGTAACCTCAAATTAGGTAAGATCATTTCTCTCCATGTTCTTTCAAATTTATTATTCACTAATCATCCTGCCATTCAGCATTATATTGTGTGACCTATTGACAGCAGCATCAGATAAAGCATAAATAAATATAACATGCATGGACAACTACAGTTTGTTAATTTAGTGTTTAGTGTTTATTGTATGACAGTAATCCATGTAATTCAATGGTTCCCAAATTACTCCACACACTCCTTCCTTCAGAAATTACAGTGTATGATTATCACTTAAATTTACATATTTTTTCCTGGAATTTTTCCCTTTCATGTATCCTATCCTTCCAACATCCACTTAACTTTTAACACTTCCCACACATAAACGTTTATGTGTTAATTCACTAATTATTTACTGATTGAACACTCAAGCATAGCTGACAGCATTCTATTTTGTATTCAGGAGCTTCTGTGAGCAGTTCTCAGCCTGCAGACAGAATTCTTGGCTGAGGTTGCCCATGATTTACCTCAGTTCCTCATGGAAAAGGTTTAGATATTACCTGAAATGTTCCATGACTACTTCTTTCCACAATCTTTCCCACATCTTCACTTACAGTCACCATCTTATTCGATGCTACATAAAAGCAAAAGGAAGCATCATTAAACAAATGAAGTTATCTTTATGAAAAGAAGAGCGCCTATTGTAATGATCCATAATGGTATTCTATTATGAAACTGGAATGTACCACAAAAAGAAAGGCCTTCATAGGTTTTTCTGGCAAAGGCAATGACACATTTTTGCATATTTGCGAAGGGTTCACTAACCACAGTTTCTGTTACACACGCACATGTGCATCCTTTTCTGACTTCACATACTCATTCCATCTTTTCCAAGGTCTTGGCATCATTTTGGGTTTGGTCCAGTTTGTTTCAGTATTCTTTCATCTTTCATTCTGTCCAGATGGTTTATCCAATTCTAACGTATATTCCTCAGTTTTACTTTGTATTTTCAGTTCTTTGTAACTTCTTATTAATTACAGTTAATTTGTAGGTGTTATAATTGCCACTTGAATCTGTGGTACAGTAAAGAGGCTTGGTACTTTTACTCCAGAATAGCTGCTGAAACCATAAAATACTGTAAAACCTCTGTGGATGATTCTTAATTATTGTGTTAACAGGGAAGCTGTCGAATCTCACTTCATGTCATGTGTGAAAGAAGCAGATGTGCTTAAGCATCGCAGCCAAGTAGTCTCCAGTATGCAGAAAAAGGACCATAATCAACTGTGGCTTGGACTCCAGAATGGTAAACAGTTTTCATATAAATACCCAATAATTACAAGGGTCAGACAAACCAGAATGGGGCAATCTTCATCCATTGCACTAGTACAAAATGTATGGAAAGTCTTGTTTTTACTACACATTTCATTGGAATGCTGTGCAAGTTTGTGTGCCAACATAGAAATAGAAATGGTACAGTACACTGTATAAGAAATATTAACTTATACACTGCTTTATATAAATTTAGCTAGAAGATCATAATTTTTTTACACAAGTAGTTATTACACTAAGTTTAAGAAAACATACCTGAGAAAATATATATATATATATATCTTGAAGTAAATTCTCTCTTTGGATTTTGTTAATTGTATTACATCAGTACTTTGTATTTATTCTTCAATTTTACAGATAAATTTGACCAATTCTGGGCTGTAAACCGGAAACTTATGGAAGCAAGTGGTGAAGAAGTGTTTAAATACATTCCATTCCGTTGTTATCGCGGTGACGGGCCTTTCATCCAGCATCTTGTGAGACCAGTTACAGAGGAAGGACAGCGTAAAACTTTGCAACATCTAATACAGGAAGTTTTCCCAAATGAGACAAACCGTAAGCTAAACCGCACGTAGCATTTTTCACTGTACATGTCAACATAATTTGGATCAGTAATTATTAATAAATATTAATTAATTATTGTCAATGAATATCATGAATCTGAATTCACTCAGTTGGCTTAACTACAGGCTTAACGGCCGAGGAAGTGGTGTTTCATTCTGAGTCTCCTTTCCAGGGGTGCTGGGGGCTTTGTCCTCAGGGGTAAATTGGTCAGAGTATGAAGCTAACCACTCACCTCCATTTAGTGCCAAGGATAAGAATATATGGAGCTATATCTCTACTCCCCCATACATCTTTATGGTGTAGTGCTTAATTAATTGGGCACTAATACAACTTTATTTTTCCTTAGAACCTGAGTAGGTCATTTTTATTTCCTGTGAAAAAGCGTGAAATTAAGAATATACAATACAAGAAAATATAAATTATAAATACAAGGGAAAGCACCTTTCTTGGTTGGAGCTGTTAGAAACACCTAGTCTCATACTGGATATAGTGATTAGATCCAATTTCTGAAATATTGTGTATGTCAAATATACCCCAGACAGTGGACAGTGTAATATATAACATACATAACATTCATATAATGAATCAGTCATCACAAACCCGAATCCCAAGACTGTACCATAAAGACTTTGATGATAGAGATGGAAACTTTGTATCTTAGCTCAACCATGACACGGCTGAAGACTTCTGCGTATTGTCTTTGTTCCAGTTCAAATAATGACGCATGGTATTGAGCCTCCATGGGAGACACCATTACAGTGGATGAGTGAACACCTTAGTTATCCTGACAATTTTCTGCATCTTTGTATCCAGACATCATAAACATCATCTGTATATTGTGTTCTTCAAGAAATTACACATTATGCAGCTTAGAGTATGGCTGAGAATAGTTTGCATTTTGAGTGCCCCTTGGTGCACTGCATCGTCTATGTGCTCAGTGGAGGCAGCTTTCATTTTGTATGATACCAAATGCCATGTAGCTAAGTAAAGATTACAGACAATTAATTTTGTAAAATAATATTGAATATTTTTAATGACGTCCCATGATGGAGGACAAGAATGTCAGAAGAGAACCAGATTGAATAAGAGGAGATAATGGTCATTTTTGTATTATGATCTATTTGAAGCACATGGACATCAGTTTCAGCTTCAGAAATTTTGGTCCTCTGGCAAGCAGCTTATTTTTTAAATGTTAATATCAAATGTGAAGCTAACTTTGAAAGTGTCCAGCTACTCAGGTAATACCCAATTTTGAAATAGTTAACATTTCCTGATTTGGACACATTAAAGTACAGTTGCTTATTGGAATAAGTACATCTTCAAACAGTGCAAACTTCTGGGATGTGACACCATAAAGTCCGGTAGCCAGCATTTAGAGAAATCTATTGCCTACATCGTTTATCAACAAAATGCTGGTAGCTATCAACCAAACTGCATGATGCCACATTTTATGTAAGACTAAACCTTGGGTAAGATAATGGGAGATAAAGCAAGGGAAGCATTTGTCCAAACTTTCCTACTACCAGCTATGTCATAGTAACATCCCAAATGTTATACACATGTGCTGAGCAAGTATGTAACATGTCACATTATTTGTCCCAATTCTTTATTCTATTGAAGTGACTAACGTTTGATATGTATGCACTATTAATTTCTACCAAGGGACTGAATCATCAATTTCTGCCACATTGGATTCATTTTGTGCATACAATAGCTGGTGTGTAACGTTTTTCTGTTGTGAATAGGGCTTTGTTCAGAAGTTTTATCTACCGTGCTTAACAGCTGTTTATATGATGCTAAAGCCAGTGAACTGTCTGATCATTATGAGATTTTAGGTTCTCACAGTAGTGGATATTAATATCATGGTCTTCTGGGATATGATGCCATGAAACACTGATCCCTCTCTATGCAACTACACAGCATCATATCTCAGAAGATCGCATTCTAATATTAAACCAACATACTGTGTAAATATCTGTAAGAAATATTAAGAATATAGCATTTTATATAATACTGAATAAATTATATAAATGTAAAATGAATTAGATTTCTTTCTTCAAATTCCCAAATATAGAATCCCCTAGAAAGTACTTCTAGAAGATTCTTGAGATTCAAAAGAAAATCACATTTACATTCAATCCCAATGTTCCAGTCACACATACTTGCATTCTCAATTCATACCACAGTGTAAGGAATAAGGCCAGTTTATGAGCTAAAATATCATAATGACTGTGCATCACATATGTTATTCATACATTCCCTGTCTTTAAAATACATCTCTTCAAAACTTTTTGCTAAATATAAAGATATTTGGATATATCTATAAAGATGGCAACAGTGTTCAAGTTTGTCTATTTTTTAAATCTATAGGTTTCCTCTGTTCAAAATCATAATATTACTCAGTTAACAGAATATGTCCCCAGCTCAGAAATGGAGTTTGCACCCCTGCCTAAGTGGGGAGAGATCAGAAAGTCAACAGAGATGATATCTGGAGGAACTAGACAAAGAACAACATTTTAAAAATTGATAATCATTTTTCAGACTAAGACTTCATATTATATAAACACCATCAAGTTACTTATTCTATAAAATAGATAACAATAAGCCAACTTCTGTTGTTCTAAGCACCAAAATTATTACACATGTACATTACTTACGAAGTGGAGATGTCCATGAGAACATCGAGGAACCAATGCAATACCATTTTATAGAACAAGACATACTGTAGCCCTCCCCCAATAAATTATTTAAACAGGAATACTGAAATACACAAGTTAAGACTGTCGTATAAGAAAGTTCATTTAAATTTTGAACAGTAAAGTTAGTTTCAAATACATAGGTAGGCATTGTTGATGTGTTCTTGTAAGTAATGTCTTTTACATTAACAGCACCACAATATATGTCAACCTAAGACAAGACAACATCTTTTCCTGAGCCCAGACTCATAACGTAAAAATCATCATAAATGTGACCAGTTTCATCCATACCTCCATGCAGCAAAATATAAGGAACATATGACTCAGTTCTGTTGGTTGATTTCTTGATCGCAGTTTCTTCTTTTGTTACACTTTCTTTTTGTTCAGCTTTACTGTCACCATGGCTTGGATCTTGTGCCTTCTTCTCAAATTTGTGAGGAAGTTCTATTAACACTAGAGTAAAATCCAGTCTCCTTGGAGGCACCAAACCTCCCATGGTGATCTCCTCCCATACCAATTTGTCTGAAATTGATACAGACACATACCATTTATTAGCCAGAGGGTAAGCTCCATATAATGGGCCCAACAGAGCAGTTTTCATGTTTTTATCTAATGACAAGAACAGCCAGTTTCTGAAATGTTGCATTTCTTCAAATGGGCCCATTAAACAGAACCAGTCACTGTCTCTGGAGATAGGATTAGCTTCATGTAGTGAGTCCAACTGAGGATATTTCTACTTTTATCTGATAATGTCTTGTCCTATGTTTACTCTGTGTCTGTAGAGGTCTTATAATGGACTGATCCCCCATCCAAGGAGTTCTATCTACTGCCTGTAAGATTCATAATTTCAGAAGTTAATTTTGAATTGGACCAAGCCAGGCACAATTCATAAAGGTCGAAGTAAAAGAACAGGTGCAGATCAGTGATACAGCATGTTATAATATGGTGAACTCACCTGCATGGAGCCTCCACATGTCATTTAGAGCGCCAGAATTACCAAGACCTCCAAAAATGTAGATGAATCTCTCATGACACACAGCTCCATGTGCTGCACGTCCGCTTGGCCGATGCTTGCAATCAACAGATGTCCACATCCCATCACTATCCAGTATGTGCAGGTCATCGTAAAGATCTATTCCCATCATACCACCATGACACCATAACTGAAAAACCAAGGCATCCTACATTCTGCTTATGTTTACAGAACGTTCTTTTTAACATTATGAAACATTTCTTAACATGGTAAACTGTATCTCAACATAGTATGACAAGACTTTGAGTACTCAGTGATCCTCTAAAGATTTGTGTGGCAATGGTCTGTTATTCATTATAAAACTATGTTACACACAGATCATCTTAGGTATGTATAAACTGCATGACGTTTTTAAAGCTGGACTGTTTCTGTAATCAGGTGTAAAAAGGGTAAAGATCCTACTCAGTTGGGCATATCAGACAGAGACAAAGTTAATAGAAAGTCCGTCGAGTGTAACAATTTGTAGGTCACTTCTTTATCACTTCTGCCTTACATGTTTTGGTTTGACACAACCATCATCAGAGGCACTTACTACAATTATGAAAACACTGTCGTTGTTTATGATGTTCACAGTTATGTTTGTTGTGTGGACGCTGCTACAATATGTTGACGTGTAAAAGCACAACACTTGCTAGGATAGTTGAGTACACTATCAATTCTCACATTTCATCCGAAACTGTTTTTAAGTTAAAACGCTAATGTTAAAATATTTAAAATATTTGATGTAAAATGCTAAACTCCTCCTTATTAATTCATCCCGAAGATGGGAGATGTCAGCTTGAGGTTGTATGGCTGCAAAGATATTGT